CTAGAGCGGAGATGAGCGAGGCGTGATATCCGCAATCAGCTCGCAAAGATGGGTTGTGTTGTACCGTGTAAACGGAAAATGAAAGACGGGCTGCCCGGTAACTGAATGGGTTACGTGCTTGCGTTCGATGAGGTCCCAGGTTTGATCCCCAGTTGGATAGATGGATTAACACTACAGCTGAGACCCAAACAGGTTGATAAAACTGTACAGTGCGTCCTAGCTTTCCAGTTCACGCGTCGTTTGCTGTGCACACGACGAATTCCCCCTCAGAAATGCTTATTGTGTGGATTGAATACGTTGAGTTTAATCCAACCCATGAATAATCCTGATGTTGAACAAGCACACAAACAAGACAGTAGTACGGAGACAAAACAGCTGAATTTTTTAATTGATCTCTTTGATGTAAGGGTTGTACTAGTACTCGGGTTCCCAAGTCATTGCGTTTTATAAACTTTGATGATTGATAAATTATCAAACTTTTCTTTTACAACTTCAAGGTAGGTGTTTTCTTCCTATCTCTAACAACTAAACCTTGCCCCAGTTTGCTCCTAATATTAAAGGAAGGTTGAATGCCATATGCACTCTTTTATTTCTGTCCCGGGTCTCCGGCCCCGATTCGTTGTGAATGTCGAACCAGCACAACACACGTACACAATAATTGATCGAACAGAATGAAATGTTACGGCACACTTACTCGGCACTGATCACAACTGTCTCCGATCACATTCTGACCACAATTGCATTTCCCGGTATTCGGGTCGCACATTCGATCCACTGCGCGGTTGGAACAACGACATTCTGTAAAACCGGATGGGAAGAGGAGGGGGACAGATGAAAATAAATTAATAAACGAGCTACGCTTTCAATTCACACCAGCGAGAATAGTTGGTGGAACACAGCAGACATCTTACTGGATTGGGCATATAGACGAAAATTCTCCTCCTCATTAGCTAATCCACTAACAATTGAACGTAATTGCAAGCAAATCTGGAACGCTTTGGAAAAACTTTGTGGAACAAAAGTCAGACCACGCGGGCCCCAACCCACAGCAGATGAACTCAACTGCATGTTTTCCACGTCGACTGAAACTGAAGAATCGCATCCTTATTTTCAATCAGTTGACCATCGTGAAATTTCACATGTCGATTCTAATCAGTTGTGTGCACAGCTGAAGTGCCTAAAAATATCAAAGCTTCCGGTCCAGACGGGCTGTGTCCAATCGTCCTCAAGGAATGTGCGCATTATCTGACGGCGCCACTTGCCGGTATTTTCAACCGCTGCTTCGAGGAACCAAACATTTTCGACTGCTGGAGACCTGTGCGCGTCACACCAGTCCCCCAAAAAGAACTTGGCAAACTACGTCCAGTCGCCTGCACTTCTATTTTACTAAAAATTATCGAGAAGTTTACGCTCAGTAACATTATTCCCAATACTGGGTAGCTAGATGAAAACCAATTAGCTTATTGCAAGCAACGTTCTACCTTACATGCACTCGCTCAGTTTTGCGATCCCCAGACACGGACGGCAGGGCATTTCGTGTGTTTCCTCGAATATAATAACGCTTTCAATTGTGTTGGTAAGAGTAGGCTTTTGTCTCTACTCCAAGGTGCTGGATTGTCCAATAATACCCTCTCTCTACTCCAAGATTATTTTGCTGGTAGAACACAATTCATGAAGTTTCTTGGAAGAACCCCTAACTCCCTACCAGTCAACTCAGGGGTGCTCCAGCGAGCATTTCTGCCCCCTTTCTTTTCTCCTTCTATATTCGTGACCTTCCCACTAACCCAAATGATTTTCTTATTAAGTATGCTGATGATGTCACAATTGGTTCAAAATTCTAAGATGATTACCGCTTCTCACATCTTCAAACTTATGGTCTTCATTTTCCAAGTTGTCTCTCAATGTATCTAAATGTAGCGATGTCACCTTTTCTCTCGCCAAAGGAGAACGGCTACCCTCTTTTGAAAGCGGTTGTTGTGTACTCGGTGTTGACAACCAGCCTGTTCTCCCAGTAAATTCTCTGCAAGAACTCGGCGTCACTATCTGCCAAGATCTCACCTGGACCTCACATTTAGCTTCTACTTTTGTAAAGATTCGACGGTTGTGTTTCTTTATTAGCCGATTGCGTTCTTTAAAATTCCTACTGTATTTACTCACTTGATTTGTATATTCTTGTGTTGTTACTCATCTACTGCTCCCCAGTTTTATTTTCGGGTCTTAGAGCTAAAGATTACAAAATTCTACGCCGGTCTATTTAAATTATTTCTCGAACAAGCGGTATTTCTTAGTTGCACTTGCTTAAATTTATCGCCGAGAAACATTTTACCTCTTGCGGTAACTTCTGTAACACTATTCTATCAGAAAACACTCACCCATTACACAGAACGTAACCAATGTATATCCACTTCTGTAACAAGATGTAGTTATAAACTGGTGTGTGCTCGTACCACCGCCTATCGTTTGTCCGTCATCCTCTATCTTTCGAGATTTCTGGCTCAAAAGGCATCCGTTAGAGACAACTTCTTGAATTGCCTACGCCATTGATATTGATTTTTTAAATTTTTACTCCATATTCCTTTGAATTGACGATGCTGTTTTTTTCACTTTTTTGTGACTGACGATAAATTTTCCGTGAGTGCAAGAAGCTGAGAATCCATCCATTAGGAGGAATAAAGCGATATTTGACTTGACTTGACTTGAGGGATGCCGTTTCATGTTTCCAGGGGGCATGTACTATAACTGACTTCAATCCACTGTGATATCTGGCTGAATCCACGGTGAATGAATTGACTGACCATAGGATCCAATTATGCAACAAAATGTAATGAGAAAAACCTAATTTGCCCTCCAGATTTTCTTGTTATCTAATGGGCAATGAACTTAAACCTATTGCTGC